TTCTGAGTTTGTAATAGAATGCTCACAAACCCAGCAATTCAACTTCCAAGACTTCCTTTTTTTTTTTTTTTTTTTTTTTTTTTTTTAAATGAGGTAATGCAGCATGAAGCCTGTCACTCACCATTTCCAGCTCTGGGCTTATAAGGTGACCAAAATCCACCAGTCTGTCTAGGTCATCTTCCCAAAGGTTGGGAGCCAGCTCCTCCAGCATGGTTTCAATGGCAATCCTGGTGGTCTGCAGTGCAGCATCCCCACGGTTGGTAGAGCCACTGTAAGACTGGAACTTGGTGTCCAGCAGGTACTTGCCGTGGCTCTTGAGCAGGTCAAACAGCCCTTTGTGCTTCATGAGCGCCATCTAGATTAGAGAACAGAAGAGGTAATCATAAACAACTACGTGATCCTTGTTATGTGCTGCTGACATCAGAGTGTTTCAATAGAGTGAAGTACAATTGTGCTGCAAAGAAATACCTGTGCATTTGGCACAAGGGCAAATTCTACTCTCTAGGGAAGAGAAGTTAGGAAAGTACTGCAACATATGAGGCTTCAGAAAGGATTTTTCTTCTCTCTTTCTGATCCTGCCATTATAGCCCTCCTGCATTGGAAACTGGGTTTCCCAGTGCCTGCCAAAAAATTTCCAGATATCCTCAGGGAGTTGCCATGGTGCAAACAAAGAAAAATGCTACTGATGAGCTTTTATTCTAATACACTTGAACAGCTTGAACTCTGCTTAATCAAAAGTTTTCCAAACTCTTCAGGCATAAAGCCATTTACAGTGTACTTCCCAGGTAATTTTAGAAGTAGAATTTGTCTCATAGGAGATTGATTGACCCCAATCATCATACCCCTCGAGGTAGGTGCGAATGATCTTGCAGATTATTAATCCCCAGAATAATGAGCCTCAAATTGTCTGTGAGCAGTTCATTTAAATGTGCTATGGATCAGTCTCTTTCTTACCTGGTTGTGCCTTTTGTCTGTTGGGCTTTGAGTTTGGGAGTTCGTTTACATTGTGTATAAAGGAAAAAAATAGCAAATTTAGTGGCTGTAACTGTATAGATGCATATAGCTATGTAGATGTAGAGCTATATGGATATATAAATATACTGTATAGATATACAGAGAGTTACAAGTACCATTGCAGACTTGGTGGCCCACCTTGGAGTCCACGAGGCTGCCTAAATAATGCTGGAGATGCTGACAAATCTCTTACCATTATTTCATGTTTAAAAGCTGCAGTTGCAGGAGTTCATACCTTTAAGATTTCCCCAAGGCCATTGGAGATGTGTCGCCGGGGAATGCTCTGAATGAAGGATCTATCCAGAAAGCTAGCTACTGGGGGGGTGTATCCCCCAAGCTTGTTCTTGCACTGGAGGAAGTTCACTCCGTTCTTTGCTCCCACGCTGGCATCAACGTAGGAGAGGAGGGTGGTTGGGACGCGGATGTAAGGGGTGCGTCTTCTATAGAGGGAAGCAGCTAACCCCACAATGTCCAGGCAAACACCTCCTCCAATGGCAATGATGGGCTCTGTTCGCCTGTCAATGCTGAAGTTCTGTACTTCTTGCAGGATGTTCAAGACCAGGTCCATGGATTTTGTTTCTTCTGTGGTTGGCAGGGCGAGGATTTTGTGCTGCACGTTGTTCTCTTCAAAGTAACGCCGGACTTTGGAGCCATAAAGTTCATCCACGACTTCATCTATGACAATAAAGCGCCTCAGCCTCCTTTTGCCACTAGTGGTTAGCTCGAGTTGCTGGGTGTCAGTGGTGTGACCCCAGAGGAGAGTAGTGTTAGAGGGATCCAGAATGTTGTGTGTTTCTACCACTTTGTAGCAGAAATAGATGGGAGCTTCAACTGTCCAGGAAATCCCACCTTCGAAGACACATTCACCTCTGGAAAGGATGAGAAAACATAGCTTGCAATCATTATCTTCTGCTTTTGTACCCTGCATGTCTGAACTGGTTTAAGGAGGTAACCAAAGGTGGGGAACATGCGGCCCCACAGTACTGCAGTGCACAGGCAGAGATGCCACAAGATGGATAAACCTCATCACATCTAAGTGAAAAGTCAGATGGATGAAATTCCGTGTGACAATGACAAAACAGAACCATAAGGGTTGAAGAAATAAGTAATTTCCCTTCCAGTTCTCATTTGTCAACAAAACAGCAGAAAACCCCAGACCAATAGTTTCAGCTTCCCAGAAGGGAAGGGAGAAGTGATTCTCAACATTTTTCAAAGGAAACCTCATCTTCCTGGTAGATTTTGATGGTAAAATTTGACTTACTCCCATCTACCTTCACACACCCACACAGACCTCCAGAGAAAGCAGTATCTCTTCCATATATTGGTAAGAGTGAATAGACATTTCTCAAAACAAACATGATAGAAAAAGGAAGTGCTGCTAGACAGGGAAAGAAAGCGACTTGGGAGTTACTTAATAATAGCAAGAAAGGACCAAACAAAACGATGAAGTGTATTTTATGAGACTCTTCAGCTGCAGCTGGAGAAAAATTGAAAGTTTCTGTGAAACTTCAGTTTGTTTTCTGAATGAATGGGTGGCTCATTGGATAATCAGGTTTCTCTACATGCCTGATTTCTTTCCACATGCCTGATCTTCCTCTTACAGGTCTTCGGGGCACTTCTCTGCTTTCTTTGATACCAAACTCCCTCTGAATCTGGCCCTAACTCTTTTAATGTTAAGCAGTGTGGATTTATACCTTCCAAAAAATTCTTCTGACCTTTTAAAACACAGTATTACTGAAAGCATTATTGTGCACATTGTAATGCACAAACGTATGTCTTCAGTTTGTAATTTTGCTGCACCTGCATTCATCTCCAGCATGTGACCCTTAAGAGACATGACAATTTTGGATGTTAGTTGGTGGAATTGGCTTTGGATGGCACAAGCAACACCCATCACAGCCCCTCAGCTGTATGAAAGCAGCAGAGAATTTGCAGCTGAACATCCCCTTGTTGAAGGATAGCTCAACTGAGGTGCATCCCACAGTACACTTTGCACAGCCAGAGCCATCCAGCCCTATTACCAATGTACTGGGAGCAACGTGAGCTCCTATACTTACATTTTTGCTTCAGAAAGAATTATCTCATCCTCGAGATCGGAAAGGGTTTCTCCTTTCTTGACCCGGCACCAGGTGCTCTTGACTCGTACCAGCTGGAAGTCTGTTTGTTGGGGCTCCTCGGGTGCTGCGGCCGCAGCCATCGGCGCAAAACCCTCTTCTGACACCGGCATGTTTCTAGGAAAGTCAAACCTCTGCTAGGAGATCTCATGTAGCTTGGTGACTTTGAGGTGCTTTTTAAAGTCTCCAGGTGACCAGATGTTGGAAGGGGAGGTGGCACGGAGAGCAATTACAAAACAAAGATTATCTAATCTGAGATGTGAGTTAGGAGTGTGAGGAGCATCTGAAGACACGTGCAGGCTCCAGGATGGGGTTGTATAATCAGCTAGTTTTATAATTCCTAAGGAGTACAATGGGAGACCGTGGATTAATATCTAACATGATGCCCTACAGCAAATTTGATGTTATGAAAGCAAATTCTGTGATCTTCAGTGCTGTTAAAGAACTTCCTTCTTTTTGCATGGAGACTCCGGGGCTCTGACCTTCTCTTATGAGAGGGAGATGGGAGCGGGAGCACAGGGATGGGTTTAACACTGGCTGCTTTGAGCTCCCATTCCCAGCTTTGCATTAAACAATGAAAAGAGTTTTTTTGTTGTTTTCAGATATAACTATAGGTTCCAAAAAGCAATCAGAGGCTGTTTGATCCCTGAAGGGCTGTTTGGGAGATGAGCAGAGTTTTGATTCATTTGCCCAGCTTCCCTGGGAATCTAATGCACTGCACTTTCCCTACAAAGGGAAAAATTAGGTCTGAGTTACAGAGCCTTTTCCTGATCTGCTTTGCTCACACTGCAGTTTTCACTCAGCTGTGTTAAGAGGATGCCAGATTTCCTCCTAAACTGATGGGTAGAGCCTACTGCCCCGACCCAAAAGCATGGGGGTACTGTGGGGAGGGCTCCAGGTGATGGGTCCCTAGAGTGGTTTCACCAGCAAGGCATGGAGTTACAGATTCATCTTTGCCTTCTCCTCAGCTATTTCTCAGAAAGCTGTCCCCTGAAAGCAGAAAGAAAACCCAGGAAAATTGATAACAGGTGTAAAAGCAGAGGCTGGGAAATATTGTTCTTCAAGAGCCTGCTGAGCAAGAGCTAGGTCTTGTTGCTTTGAATACTTAATGGCAGCCAAACTCATCAAGGAACCTAGATTTATATCAAATTTCAGTTTGGAAAAGAGATGCAAGAACAAACTCCCCTAAAGTTGTACACTGCTGCTCCATGGAAGGAGTACCACCTAACATGGAGCTCTCCCTGCTGGCTCCATCTGCAGATGGCAAAGCACGGGATAAGATGTTATCCCCATTTTATGGAACAGGAGAACAGAGTCCACCAGAAGAGAAGCACCGTGTTCAAAGTCACCTCCAAAGCTAGTGGAGGGAGGAATAGGTGGCATGTTAAAGCTCTTAGCCTGTTTATCAAATACTCATCTGAGATTTTAACTCCCAATACAAACACAATTTGCATCTCTTCCTACAGGGGCTGCAGGTTTAATGCAGTTTGTTGTTTACTAAATTATAAACTGGAATAATCTTAGGCATGCAAGGAGATCTGCCCTCTACATCTTGTTTATTTGTTTTGATTAATAGCAATCTACTGAGTTTTGAGACTTCTTTTATTTGCTTTTCTTTTACTCTTTTGTCCTGAGCATTCACTTATTTTCCATTTATATTTTTTTAATCTATTTAGGGGGCATCTAAATGACTTGTATTTCATTTCAGAAGGTGACAAACACATTTTCCAGTGTTCATCTGTTTGTTGTGGCCAAAGGCTGCCACCTCCTCGTGCTGCCCCAGCTGCAGCAACTTTGGCCCACAGGACAAACTTGGATGTGAGTTGTGTTTCTCCCAGGCAGGAGATGCACAGGGTGCTGTGTGGGGTAGCCTCCTCTATGGGCCATTTGTAAATAAGCAGGGGTTGAAAGTCCTGGAGCATTTGCAGCTCCACACCTGATGGCTTAGCAGGGACATGTCTATGCTATGTTACGAAATTGCTGATTATCTCCTTGAGAACCAGCAGCTTCCCCAGGTCCGGATGTGAACACTGCTGTTACGTAAAGCACAGGCACTCAAAGTTGCCTTTTTTTTTTCCCCTTCTCCAGTGTCAGACGCTGTTGGATCTCACAGCTGGCCGGGAGCAGCCCAACTTAGGGCAGTGCTGCATTGCAACAAGCTCAACTGCTCACCAGGAACCTCAACGCTGCCACGTCGAGGGACAAGAAGCAACATGCAGCGTCCTGCAGGTAACCTTCCTGCTTCGGGCTTGCAGCCCTCCATGCATGCTTTAGCCTTTAGCTGCCTGTAAGTGTTTGCAAACTGGTGACTTAGATAGTCCATGGGCGCTTTCTGATTTCTCCAGCAGAGAACAGGGAGAGATTTTCACCTAACAAGCAAAACTGGCATGAGTGCCACATGACAGCCAGGGTGACAGTTGGGCTGGGTGTACAAAAGGGTTTTGGTGCCTTGAGTGAAGAAAGGGCTCAGGAGACTGGGTGGGTTCCTCCAGGAGAGGAGGTGTGCCGAGAGGGGACACCATGGGATGTGTCAGATCTGGCCCCTGGGCTGCCTCCCAGGCTCTGTGGCTTCACAGAAAGGAACAGAGAAGGGCATGTGTGGGGAGAAGTGTTTGGAGCTGAACAGAGGAGGAGGGTCTGCATGAACCTGAAGTGGAGGAAAAGGTCTAAACTGGGAAAAAGGAATGAGGAAATGGGAGAATGGTGAATTGGAGAGTAGACATTGCAGTGCCAAGAGGAGATCTGGCTGTAATTTTGCATGGACTGGGATGCGTGCTTTATAACAGTATGTCTTCTGCCACCCTAGCCTTTGTGCTAGCTCTGATAGCTGAGTATGCTGGGCATGGCACACGCAGTGAGATATTTGCTGCCTCTATTTTCTAAAACCAACTCATGGGAACTTGGGCTGCTTTGAATTTGTTTTCTCACAGCCAGATTTGAAGCTTCTTGGAGCTGTCGAAGGGCTCCCCTAGACTGCCTCAGGCTTTGGAACAGGCTGTTAGTGTGTATGGCTTCCCACTGCCACACAGCATCCTTTGTTATGTACAAAAATAAAGGTATACTTTGCATATCCTCTGTCAGCAACTCCTGAGAATCCCTACTGTAAGCTCTTACTGTAGTCATACACTAAGAGAAAGTGGTGAGTGTTATGATAAGCTTTTTTGATGCCTGAGATGAACTGGTAAATATGACAGCTGCAATTGCTTGGGAAGATTATATGAGGCTTCCATGTCCAAAGTTTTATCAGATTTGCAGGTGTTCAGTGCCAGGCAACTCCTACAAAGGCACCTGGGGTGCTTCAGTGTTCTGCACGGCTGGGAGCAGAGCTTTTCCCAATCAACACTGGGGCTGCACGATCAATGTGAAGACTGGAAGGATGGCCCAGATATTTCCCAGATGGGAAATACTCAGTCTCACATCTCTGGATGCAGCATCTTTGCTTGGCTTTTATCAAATTCAGATTTGTTTTTTGCATGTTTGTCACCACTCCGTGCTTTTTACTGGGCAACATTACAACATCCTCCTCTTTCCTGGTTGAGCTCCCCCCATCCAAGTAAACATCATCTAAACCCTGGAAAGGTTTGGTTTCACCTTTAGAGTAGAAGATTTTATTCCCTATATTCATGAAAAAGATGACACACAATTAGGTTGGGAAGATGTCTGCGCATAGATAGAACTGCAGGTAAGAAACCAGGCAATATAATTTAGTGCTTATGATGTCCAGCTGCAAAGCTGTGCACTAAACAGAAGGACTTTCCCTGGAGTTACACAGGAAAAAAGCAGTTGCATAAATTTTTCTTCACCTTATTGCTCAGAGCCCTGAGAGCAGCCAGCCCCAGGCTCTGCTCCAGCTTGTCAGGCCCTTGCATAAACGAAGGCAATTCTGACCTCTGCTGTTGGCCCTAAGCATCACCAGGGCTGTAAAAAAAAAAATAAATAAATAAATAAAGGCAGCGCTTCTTGAAAAGATTGTATAATCCTTGGTGTGGAGTTGGTTTTGGCATGTACTGCGTGTTGCTGCTGTCTGGGAGCACTTTGTGATGCTTGCAGTTGGTGTTATAACACAGGTTACAAAACAGCTGGAGGTAAATCTTTTCCCCCCTCCCTGAGTGACAGTGCATCCTTGTCTGTTACTCATCCAGGAGTGAAACATGTTGATTGCTGAAATCCGACATGGATTATAAACACGTGTTTTTTCCGCTAAATTAGCAGAAAGCCTCGGAGTGCTTGGCAGGGAACTGATGGAGAAGGCAGTTCCTGACACCCAGCATCTTGCAGACACGTGGCAGGAGCCTGGAGGTGGTGAAAATGTTACAGAAAGACACTGCGTTGTCATACAGCACATAGCTGGGCTGTGGGGGGTTTGCTGAAGTCAACAAACTAGCAGGGTCTGGGAAAGCAGCGATTATTTCTGTACTGACCATTAATTTAGAAAATGCTGAAAGAGGAGTGAGCTGCCCCTGATGGTGAGATACCATCATGAGCTGTAAATCTGGGGCTGCTCTATCTACTCAAAATCTGCTTTTCTTCTGTGTAAGACTGGGCTGCTGCCAGGAGTGTGGTGCTGTATAGGTGACCTCCAAGTCTTCTCCATTCGGGTAATTCCCATGTAAAATGAGCACGTGTTATTTATTTTCCTGGTCTGCATTCCTATTGTTTGTAACTTGGGTAATGAAAATGAGTGAAGTTGTCCCAAAAGACAGTGTTTTTCTCTTAATATCTACAGAAAGCTGAGATACCCTGCTCTGAGAAGCAGGCCTTTGGGGAGCTTTAGAAGCTTTAGACCTTTCCCCATTTCCAAAGACGTGAAGTAGGAGACACTCAATGTTATTACATCCTTAATGAGAAGACTTGCCTATCCTCATGTCTCTGGTTGAGAACATGGAGTTGCTCCATTTATCCACCTCAGATTTTTCCCTTAAACCCTCAGACAGGGAAGATATTAAAAAAATAAAATGACATTCTTCTGTCCTGCTACCATTTGGCTAGAAGCTAACACCAGATCATCAGCAAGGCAGTGACAGCAGATAGGACACCAGTGAGACCCAATGTTTGATGAGTACATCCAGGGTGGCATTTTGGGTAGATAGTAAAGAAATGGAGAAGAGAGAAGTCAGAGGTACGTGTTGTGGATGGTCCCACAGCTGCTGGGCTGGTCCGGGCCAGTTCTCCTGAGGAAACATGTCCTTGATGGTGGCTCTGGTCTGCATCGCTTTGTTTTCAGCAGCTTTTCTGCCACAGAGAATAAAATCCTGCCGGGGGCAGTTTCTCCACCCTGGGTGTGCTTACAGCTGGTTTGCCATGTGCCTCAGAGCTGTTCTCACCGGTGCTTTCATAACCCCACATGTGCTCTGACACTTGAGGAATGGGGAATTTTTCAGAACTGCATCTCACTCTGTGTTGTCACAGCTCACCAGGAGCCAAAGAGAAGTGAATTAGAAGTATGTATTCTTTTCAGTTTGAGAAACTTTCCATGGCTGTTTCTGTATTCATTCAAAAACCTGTACTATGTATAATTTTTGGTCTGAATGTCTGCTGATTTGAACAGTTATCATTGCTCTTTCTTTTCTTTTCCATTTCAGAAACTCCAATGGGAAGCATTGCAGAGAACCTTCTTAAAGCCCAAGAAATAGCCCTCAATGATTCTCATGTACCTGAACAACTCAAGAATTACTTACAGAAAGCTCTTGTTGTTGCCCTTGGACTGGACCCTTATCTGATTGCAATGGCAACTTCAAAGAGGTATGGATCTCCTTTTATAACTTTGTGCTTTTCTTGTCTGATTGTCTGAATATGTTTCTAGATTCTCTGTTCAAAATGTGCCATAAATGTGGAGAGCAGAGAAAAGGAGGAGGATGAAAGTTGACTGTGTCCAAATATATTGTGATGCTTGTACTACACGAGTGTCTAAGTGCACCCATGGCCTTGAGGAGAGGAGTGAGAACAAGAAGTCTAGCTGTAAATTGTGTGAGCTGTTTTACCTGATTGCTGCTAATTATGGCAATGTCTGTACTGCACCATATTCTTGGAAAAATAAGCAAGCCAGCCTCCAGAAAGGGCTGGCTGAAAATCCCAAGGAATCCCTGGATTGAACCAGTGCTGGGATAAATAAAATATGAAGAAAAACTGCATCACAGTCTCTGACTCCCCCTATAATAACAGCCTTCATATGCAGCTTTTATCTCCAGCGCTCAACAAACACTAATTAATCTGCTAACTAAATAACTCTGCTAACTAAACTAATTAATTAAACTAATTTAAGGTATCATTAATTCAGAAGTCCAACTGAAACCCTCATTATTCTTTTTTCTCCTTTCTTTCAGTATATTACCCAGCCATGTGGGGTCCACTGAACAATTCCTATTTATCAGTGTACATTTTGATATGTGGAAAAAGCCAGTTCTGTCTTAAATTGACAATGTGTAAACTGTTCCAGGCTGTGGATTATGGGAACACTGAGTGTTCGTTCTGTTGCTGAAATAATAGCTGATAGTTGTTTGACTTACGCTTGCTGTATGATAATAGCTATACATTATCTTATTAAAGTTGTTAAAGCATTTGTGAGGGGCAGAAAAGAGGTTATATGAAATGTTCTACTCTTTAAGACTTGGATTATCTGAGTGTGGCTGACACGGGTTATGAATTCTTTCTCATTTTACTGGTGAGTGGTGGGAGGAGAAGAGGGAGGGATGAGAAAGCTCAAACGACTCTAAATTCTGGCCTGCAGAAGTATCACCAGCCATTTCTGGTGGTTGCTTTCTTCAGACACGGTAATCTAATCTGTCTTCAGGCTATGGACTTTTTTCAGTCATCTGCTTATTTCCCTCTGCAATAGGCAGTATCTCACTTTATCCAGACTTCTCTCAGACTTGGGTTCTGTGAAATAGTGTCTGGAGGTGCCCTGTTCTCTTAGCAGTTTGGGAGGAAAAGATTTTTCTTTTGCAGAAAATTTAAGGTTCTACTTCTCTTGCCCCATTCTGAAAAGAAACCTTTTTTTCAGCTGGAAAACGAACACACCGCCAAACAAAAACTGGCCTTGCAAACTGGAGCAGTTTACTCTGAAACAGACAGTAGGCATTTGCTTGGTACCAGTGGGAAAGATTTGGGTTTGAACCAATGCTCTTCTTGGAGTGTGTTCTTCCTTGGACACACAGCCCCCTCTTCCCAGTCCAACACAGAAAGGCCAGGAGTCATGGCCAATCTGCTTTTGCTTATTACAGAGCCAAGGTCCCCTAAGATTTTAATTCAATGACATTTGTGATGTCTCTGTGCTGCTTTTGCATGCTCGTAAGCAGAGGTACTTTTTCTCCAAGAGTTTCCTCTTTGTTTCTTTTATTCTCTGCGAGATATTCAGATTTTCGTTGCTCCCATAACATTGAAATGTCTTTCTTTTTCCAGAAAAGTGTCACCTGCTCATGGCTCAGGGGATGCTGGAGGAACCAAAGCCAGAGTTAAGCCACTCCAAGAGGACACTTCTGGGTGTTTGAATGGCAAGTTGATCAATCAAAATGATAAAATGGCTCCTGATCAGTGTAAACAAAGTTCCTCATATTCTAGTCTGTTTTGGGTGGGGACTGGATGAATGCCATGGAAAAGTTCAGAAAATTTGGAAAATTTCTTAAAAAGAGAAAGAGGATCTTCCTGCCAGTGCCAACCTTTTTTTTTGTATGAATTTTGTCCATCCCCCATCCCATATCTTTGTGCTCATTCATATATTCTCATACATAATGCTTGTGAGTGCTCTCTGTCCTCTCTACTTCATGATGCTGTCCCCATTCCTTACAGAGAAGCAAGCAGATGGTCGTCTTCATTGCAGGGAGGGGAAAAGCCTTGGTTTTGTTTTGGCGGTGCCTGCTGGGGTGTCATGTGCTTTAGTGGAGAAGGTGGTCTGTGGCCGAGCACTTCACCTTTTCAAGTAGCAATACTCAGGCTTGGATTCTCATATAAAGCTTATTACACTAAATCTATTCCTAGATTCATTCTTCCCAGATGTTCCCATCCTTTGAGTAATACATCATCACAGTGAAGTACTCTTATAATGTATTACACTAATACATTGTTCGAAGGACACCACTGATGATAAATTTCTTAAATGATGGTGCTGTCTAGGGATAATGACTCTAAGAGCAAATGCAAGGTAATGTAGTGATTTTTTTTAACTGGGTTCCAGAAAGAATATGGAGACATCTTAAAGCCATTTTCATATGGGGGGAATGTTAAAATATGCAATATTTCAAGCACTATTTAACAAGCACTTGAACAATAGCAGCATTGATGATAAAGGTTCTACATTTCAAACTAGTCCCTCTATTCTGTTGTCTTTTTGCTGCATTTTAGATAAAATTTGGAACGATTCTGTTGATAAAACCCTTATCTGAAAGTGTTTTAAGATGTGATTTTATTTTAATGATCACTTAAAAGGTGCATCTAATTTTCATTGTGAACAAAGAACTGTCTTTCTTAGAGTTTTAATTTTATATTTTCACTCTTGTCTTTCCACAGGCCACATTTTTAGGATGTTTATTCATCTGATCAGAGCCAGGAAGATTTTATTAATTGGCAAGCTTAAAGGTTACAGTATCCTTGCTATCGCAGAAGAATTGCCAGATGATGGCAAAATCTTTGCATGTGCAGAAGTGCCGTATCTCGGAGTGAACAGCCAAGAAGCATTTGATTATTCTTCAGATGGTGAAAAGATAAGCATGCGAGTGGGACCGATAGCAGACACGCTGGAGGTAAAGTCTGTTGGAAGGGGAATTTGGGAGCTCTTGTTCAGAGCAGATTAAGGAGGTTTGGGCAGGGTCAGCCTGTCCTATTTCCTGCCCACAAGATTCCGAGTGGTGACCCTAATTCACTCCTAATATGTGAACACAACCTTGCACTGGAGTTATTTCTTATTCATGGTAATGCATGGTGAGGCTCTGTCACAAGAAATAGCTTGTTTTCCTTCTTAACCAAAGTACTACAGATTTTTGACCAGAGGAATCCTTTAAATTTAGGTATGTAGGCTTTGGTGGCAGAGTTTTATTTGACTTGGCTGCTCATTGGATTGGGGTTTCTAATTCCAGAGATAACTGTGCGCTGCTGGAGGTGCCCCAGTGCTCACAACAATGGGGAAGTCCTGCAGATTCAGTATCATCATTGTTTTCCTCCCAGTGATAACACCATGAGGAGTTAGACCCTGGGTTTTTCACTTTCAGAGCAGCGTGATAAGCTTAAGATGTACAGACACACTAGATAAATGTGTTTCATTCTGAGTAGTGACTTAGTCCCAAAACAAGAGAATCTTGTGGGTCCCAGCAAGCTGGAGGAGTTTCACATTTAATTTTATTTTATGGATCTCTATGGCATTGCTGCAGGTCCAGAGCACCAACATGAGAAGCCAACGCCAGATTCATTAAATACAAGGCATTTCTGTCATTATTGCAAACCAATTTGAGATGATTCCATCTTCAATCTGGACGTGTCATTGTGAGCCTGATTGTAACTTTATTTCCATTAACAAGTATCTTAATTTTTTTTCCAAAAAGAGTTGGCCAAGAGCTCCCTAACCTCTGGCTTTCGTGACCTCCAAGTTTGATAAGAAAGAAACAAAGAGCTTTGCCAAGTATATGAATAAATGAAATGTTACAGATCACCTGCAATGTGCAGCATTTAAAATCCCAGCTCCCCGCAGTGAGTGTGAAATTAATTGAATTGCTGTTGCTCTCTAGTGCCCATTCTGTGCAACTGACTTACTGTGACTGAATTGAAATATCTAGAGGCAGGCAGAGTACATGCTGTGTAGAGATTAAAGAAGGGAGCAAAGACATGAAAATTAAATCCTTAACACACGATGTTGCAATTGATTTTATGGCCTCTGATTGAGAAGCACAGGCACATCCTGACCCCAGTTCTACAGGTTCTTGGGGCTTCCAACATCTCTTGGAGATGCTCATGTTTGGCTGGTGAGATCTCTGCACTGGGATGTTTCTCTCTGGAAGGATTTCCACGCTGGCCTCTGAACTTGTGTTGCTTAATCTGACAGATATTTTATCATTGGCACCACGATAATCAGAATTGTTTTACTTGTCCTCTAGGGCTCTGGTCACAATGACTGCAAATGATGAAGGGACATATTTGGTGGCCTCTCCAGGGCCTTGATGCGCTGGGGTCATTGGGGTCTGTCTGGTGCAGGGCCACCATTGTGGGAACACATGGAAGAGGCTCAGGCTGTGAGTAGTGCTCTGCTTTCCCCCTAGAGAAGACCAGCTTAGATGGGAGAGAGAGCAGAAATAAAGCAGAAACGGGTAATGCTGCCAAAAGGCACAGAGAGATTAAAGAGATCTGATCCCAGCTGCAGGTAGTGGGACTAGCATGTGCTGAACCAGAGTGTTTAAAATCTTTTCCCAACAAGCTGCTTAAATCTGAAGTGCTGTGCCTGAGCAACATGCCTTGCTTTGCATCAGCTGTTAGCAAAGGGTCTGATCCCTCCCAAACAGCTCCCTTTAATTCCCAATAGACATCTGGTGGAACAGTGAAAGCGGGATTAATCCCATAGGGAATGCAAACTACCAGCAAATTATTCCCATCCATGATTTCGATCCTTCCACTTTAAAATTGAAAGCACAACACAGAAAATAGCACTGTGTTTGCAGTAGATTCTGCTGATTGCAAGGCATTGTGTAAGCATGCCGGGGGTTTCTTTTTTCCTTTCTTCCCTCCTTTTACCAGACAGAATAGGTGAAGAGGTTGAGCTGCAGATCTCATTTCTCCTGTTTTGCTGCTTGTGAAGTCTGCCAACAGAATCCACCTTGACAAAGTCAAGGACTCTGCGTTTAATGTTGAACTGAGTGAATAAATTATGCATGAAATTGTGTCGGAGTCTCTAGTGTGCAGAATTGCTCCTTTTGATATGAAAGGTTAATTCAGAAAGGAGTCCAAAATAGCTGGAAATTGTGGGGATAAGTGGATAGTATTCACTGTTGTGAGCTGTTATTACTAGAAATTGCATTCCCTCTCTGGCTTCCCCAGAGATTTAGCTTTGCCGGTGAATATAAACTGTACTCAATAGAATAGCATTTAGGAGTAACAAGAGTGTATGTCCACATACAGTAAAATATTCTAATGGTGTTTTAAAAGGAAGCTGTACTTCTTCATGTATTCTGTGTACTCTAAGGATGGATTGCTATTGCATTTAGGTCAAGAACACAGCGTAGGGAAGGTAATAAGTTTTGAGTACGTCTTTATTACAAATATGCTGACTGTGATCCATTTCAAAGGAACTGGACAGTCGTTTGTGTCTGATTGAGTTTGTATGTGCCTTATGAGAGCACGTTGTCTCTGATCTGAGCTGCAATCAGGTTTTCTTTCAGTCTGGCAGAAGATTCATTCATGTTTTTATTCAGGATGTCCTCTCCCTGATCTTTTGCTGTATCTGTCAACAGTGTTGCTGTGCCCTTCTTGTGCTGGCTTTCGGTGCATCTCTTCTGTGCAGTGCAGTGCTACAAGTTCTTTTATTTCCCTTCTTTTTCCATCCAAAAGGAAGTTAATGACTCACTGTAAGTAAAAGCATTAATTTTAGCCAAGTTTGCTCTGAATTAAGACACTTCTTGTTGCCATCTGTTACCATCTATGATGCCTCTGTAGCAAGGAGCAGGGATTGCACTGTAAACATTCAGGAAATTAGTTTCAGCAGGATATTTTTGCAGGCAGATTATTTCCTTCTGGATCTCAGCTTTCTTCACAGTTGGAGATGTTTGGGCTCTGCCTCTCTCTTAGCGAAGGACAAAGGGACCTCTGACGTGCTGTGAGGTCCCAGGCAGGAGCAGGCATGATCTGCTCAGTCCCACAGAGAAGAAAAAGGTGGTCAGTCCCATTTTGAGAGGGGTAGCAGTGAGCTCTCCTGCTCTCTCCATCACTGCCCTGCTGCTTCAAGCTTAAAGCTCTGCACTTGGACCTGCTGGGAGGTCCTATTGTGAACTCCAAGGGAATGTTTCAGGCATTCCTATGTAAGTGTCTAGTTCTGCTTCAGCTGCCCTTAGACATCTGACTTTTCCATACACGTTTGGGGTATATGAAACAGGATACTTGGGGCTGCACATGGAAGCTGTGTGGTATAATTTAGGCTAGACAAAATGGACCTGTTTGCCTAAACCTCAGCATCTAAAATCCACCCCCAAGTCATCACAACACATATTAGTGTCTCGCAAAGCTCTGCAACACACAAAGAATGTAATTGGAGTAGGAGACTGCAAAGGGCTTGATTTGGAGGAAATGGAAGGTGACAAGTGAAATTTGAGGCTGTTTCTTCAGGACTCAAGCTGGCTGAAGTAAAACACCTTCCAGCAGTGCAAGGATAACACAGGGTTGTGCTAGATGCACACAGAGCACAGGAGTCCTCCTGGGCTTAGAGCTGTGAGGCTGAAGGGTGGTTTGTCTGCATGACAAGGTAGATAAGAAAGGGATAAGCTGTCAGCAGGTAGGCAGTGCGGAAAGAGGGTTGAAACAAGAAGTCCAAAAAACATCCTAGGAGCTGCACAGCTCCATATGGACCTAATGAAGCCATTGCATAAAAGTGAAATTCTTTTTCATTAGGGAGCCATAGCACAAAGCAGTAGTAGCATATGTTTAGAGATTGCCACATCTGCTTCTGAAAACCTGCCCCCCACCTCCTCCACCCAGGAAGGTTACAAGTCAGAAAGTAGTGATAAGTCATGGTAACTGCTTGAATTTGCTTTGGCTCTTCTCTATGGAGAATGAGACCTCTAATCTTTCTTTCCAAAAGACTCCTCCTCCCAGCTTCCATCCTCTGACCTCTCCTGAAGCAGTGACATTGGGCAGACTGGCTGAGTCGTGGTTTGATATAAGATGTTCTTCTCCATATCAAAAATGTCCCTGCTGTTTTCCACCAATATCACCCAAGAAGGAAATGAACTTTATTTCTTAACCACTAACAAGCTCACAATGACACCAGTTTGCAAACCAGAATAATTTGGAGCTTCAGTGATCCACTCCCTGCTATTTTCTCATCAGAACAGCGTGCTCTCTGCTTCTGAAAGGTTCCTGAAATCTCTCTCTGGATCAACCTCACTCCTGAAAACAAATTAGTTTTTCAAATATTCCATTGCCATTTGTTCTTGATGCTTTCTCTCATACATCTCGGGGGATCGCTCATCTCTCATTGTACACAATGTCTCCAAACACAAAAGGGAAACCTGGACTCAAGAACTGCTGTTAAAAGTTGTGGTAGAAACTGAGTTCTGGAAAACATAATTGCTTCTCTTTTCACTTGAAATGCCAAGACTTGAAAGCATTTATGCTTGTCTGAGATAGGTGGATGAGCCGTTGTTTCATTGCAACGCACACAGATGCAGTTAAATAGTCCCAGATGGAATCTGAAATATTCCATAGCAGCCTCTTGGGCAGTGAGTGCATTAACTGCCACAGGAGAAGGCTGTAAAGGCTCCCATCTGGTCATCCATCAACACTTTTATACATTATCATCAGCAGCCTGCTTGGAGGGAAGGTGTGCCACATTTCTGAAAATCCAATTAGATGATAGAAGCCAGTTCTCTTTTATCCTCTGTTGCTGAGCCACCCAAAGCATTTTTTTAGATTAAAGAAACATCATTTTCCTTCACAGGAGCTATGCTGCTTTATCTCTACCATGACCTGTTCTTTTATGTGCTTTATAATTCTATTATTAATTGGGATTTCAACCATTTGCCTGTTATTGAAGTGGGACTCTCTAGTTTGCAATTCCCAGGATCAGCCTTATGTCTTTTTCCCAAAGACTGTTACAATTGCCGCTCTTTGGTTTGTGGATAGTCACTCTTTTGAGAAGAGAGAGCTTATTCCAGCTGCTCAACTGCCACAGGGTTTGATGTGAATCTTCTTCCTTACCCTGATGGCTCAGTCCCCTTTCATTCCACGTACAGGTGTTTCTGCTGTGATTCTCAACAAGACAAGCTGGGATGAGCAATCATCTGCTACATCCTGATTGTCTGCGAGAGGTTCAGAGATCTGGGCACCAGGGCTGCTGAAGAATTCTTTGTGAAGCATGGGAAACTCCCAAGATCTCCAGAAGTAATTTCAGAAAAAAAAATTAAAAAATATATATATATATAAAGAAGTCCAGAGTTCTTCATATTTGAGTTTTTTATATAAAGGACATTTAAATGGTAAGTCGAAACTGGTATTCAGACAGCAGGTAAATAATTAGTGTTTTCTCCATCCTCATTTTTTTTCCAGGCATTACATGCTGAGGATGAGCACTTTGATATAGTCTTTATTGATGCTGATCAAAGGAATGCTGTTAACTACTACAGCTTTGTCATGGATAACCACTTGCTGAGAATGGATGGAGTGATCTGTGTAGAGAATACACTCATGAAAGGACAAGTCTACCTGGAGAACATATCTGAGGAAAATGTACTAGCTGTCAGAAAATTAAATACAGTGATTAATTCAGATCCTCGTGTTGAGCAGGTTGGTGCAATGCAATTGGTTAGGCTGCCTGTGGTACTGTATCTATGGATTTTGCAAAGTACTCATCAGAATCTTTCTTTTGTTGGTGTCATTATTCAAGGAACCTAAAATGAACCCAAGTTTCATTATAATTTACCTTTCCTGAGTTTCTATATTCAGCAAAAGTCTCTACTCTGTCTATATCATCTCATGTGTTAAAGGCAAGTTAAATTTGAGCACTTAGAAGTGAATAATCAGCTCTACAGCACAACCAAGGAACCACCACTCTGCTTAAAGCCTCTGGAGGCTACAAGGCATTGCCAGCACAACAGGAGTCAGCAAGGCTTTCAATGCACTTGTTCAATGCCACCCCAGCACAGTGGCACGAGCATTCAAGGCTTGCTCTCATGTACCCACTCTTCTAAGAACCTCCCCTCAGTTGCCATAATACAGGATTTGGGCTCTGTGCCCCATAAGCTCAGATCCTTGTCTATCTGAGGACAGAGAGCCTCTAGAGGTGCCTCCTATCATACCCCATTATTCTATTATCAACGCAACCACCAAATACCAAGAGCAATGACTTTTCTTTATAGAAGAGGGAAAGACTCACCATGGCTTTCCATGCCCTGAGTATTACCATTAGCTATTTAATGAGTGTAAACAGCATGTTGTTTCTGTATTTAATTTTTTAATAGTTTGATCCCGGTGTTGAACCTCCAGCGTTGAGAGCATCTTTCACTGAAGTGTTATAACAGTATCAGAGGCAGTTGTCAAAACCCACTGAAATTCACCTATGGATTCCTGTGAATAGTGATGAACACTGAAGTGTTCATTGAAGTGAAGCTATTATGGTTTGCTAGGTTCTGAGAATGATTCTGGAATACCTTCATAACGGCATTAGCCAAGCAGTGGAAACCCAAAGATTCCAGCAGCTGACACTCATTTAGGAAATGGAGAGGCAAAATTGCTTTTTTTTTTTTTTTTTTTCCCCTGGAATTTGTGGAAGTCGGGAGTTTGGGAGAAGAATGTGAGAAAATATAGATGCCTGACATATTTGGGTTGGGAGGAATTTTAGCTAAAGAATAACAGTAGGAGAAAAACTGCTCTGGCCTAATGAAGGAAGGACTTTGCTGAACTGTCTATGCATTCTGTCTGCAGATAATTTTACCTGTGCAAAGTGGGCTGAGCATCATTCGAAGGAGCCGTGTACCACCAGATGCAGTGATTGAATCAAAGGTGTGTATTTTCTTTTCTGTGAACATTTCTTGGAAAGTTGAGAACAGTGATAAGAGCAGGGACTTGCTGTTGAGGGCCCAGATTTATGGTCTGCTATGCTGTTAGTGCCATAGAGATTTAGCTTGTCCTATGGAAAAGGTGGTGATTTTATCTTTTTTTTTGTAGGAACTCCATTTTATGTAATGGGCATCATCCAGCTATAATGAAATTCCCATCTGGAATTGTAATCGCCCAATTCTGTAAATCCAGACCCAAATGTCTTGATTATTTGGCAGTTTCTGACTGCTCCCAAAGCTATATCCACTAGTAATTCCTGGCATTTCAAAACCAATACTTTAAACATCTTGTATTTTCCATTGTGATTCCAGCCAGGGGAAAATGATGTATGGCAGCTGATCAGATGACAGCTTGGTTAAAGTTATTGGCTGATATCTTTATTTGCGCACCAGCCCTGTGAAGATATTTTGACTGCACAGCATTTGAGCCAAATCCTGCCTTTGGAAACATGTTCTCAGCCTCCTTCTTCCTGAAGGCAGCTGAACTGGAGGGTAGGACTTGGTCCTGGGAGTGAAATAGATGGAAGACTTAATCAGTTCTTTTCTGAGAGGTCATACCTGCTCATGTCATTGTTCTTCACAGTGGAAGTGGTGAGGTGCTGGAACAGGCTGCCCAGAGAGGCTGTGGTTGCTCCATCCCTGAAGGTGATCTAGACCAGGTTGGATGGGGTCCTGGGCATCCTGGTCTAGTACCAGACCGTGAGGTTGGTGGCCTTGCCTGTGGCAGGGGGGTTGGAACTTGATGATCCTTAAGGTTTCTTCCAACCCAAGCTGTTCTATGATTCTACAGTCTCCCATGGGAGGCTGGGCCAGGAAGGGCTGCGCCCTACTCTCGTGTATTCGGAGTGCTCAGTGCATCTTCCCAAACATAGCCCTTCTGCTACATTGCTTTGCACCTTGGTGTTTCTGTTGAGAATAATATCAGTAGGGATAAGGATTTTTTTTTTTTTTTTGGGGGGGGGGGGGGCTTTAATTACTCATATCTTTGCATTAACTAATGGGTCAAGAAGACACGGATCCCTGTCCACATTCTCACCTCATCCTCGCAGGCAGAGCCTATCACAGCAGTTCTGGTACTGAGCTTTGCCTCAGATTGCTATGTGTATTTGTCTTCATTTTAGAAAGAAGTGATAAGGGATGATGTTTTCTGGGGTTATAAGAAGAACCGCATCCTTGACCGGCTGCGTTTGGATGACAAGGTGGCCTACGTCACCGGCGGAGGGCAGGGAATCGGGAGGGCCTTTGCTCATGCGCTGGGAGAAGCTGGTGCTAAAGTGGCTGTGGTGGACTTGGTCCTTGCAAAGGCAGAAGCAGTGGCGTGTGAGCTCAACCTCAAAGGTAAGCATGGCACTGCCATCAAACTGGGGCAGTCATTGAAAGTTGAAAACTTCCATCTGTAGTTCTTTCAAACACGAATACGAGGTCAGATAAGGAACAGAATATTAGTAGACATAATAACTAAAGTCCAAAATAAGAGGTAAAATCCTCTACAAGGCACTTCTATTTTAGCAGTAAAAACACAAAATGTAACATAAAATTGAATTTCCCCCTAGAGTCATGCTAACCTGCAAAGGGGAAAAAGAAAACTGGAAATATAATTTTAATGAGAAAAGAAAGGAAGTGTTACTCATTTTATAATTCCATTTGTGGGATTACAACCAAGCTTTCTTCAAAGTTCACTACTTTATCGCCTCTGAAGATGGAACTTTGCCGAGGAAATTTTCACAGTCCCAGTTGGACAAAGACAACAGAATTTGTGTCCACTCTGGTTTCAGAAAGGGATTGATCACCAGTGGATGATCTGCCCATTGAAACCTGGAGGCTCCAGTCTGCCTTAAGAACTGTAAAGCTTTTTTTGCCAAATGGAAAATATTCATAAAATCTGTGTTTGTGCAACTGGAAACCGTATTATCCAGCAAAACAAGCCCTTGCAGATACATTTCTATTACTCATCATTCTGCATCTATCAGCTTTTTCCTAGGGAAGGGGCAAGGGATGGTTCATTTCTGGTTTTGACACCATGCTGAGCCTTTGTAGAGAATGCTTGAAACAACAGGTCCCACTCTGTTCAATGCCAGCTTTAGTAAGCATAGGACACTTCACAATGAGGATTGGTGCAATGGTTAAAGCTTTGATTGCTGGTCTGATCCCTAACAATGACACAGACTAGAGCATCTCCAGTTTCTATTACAAATTCTTAAATCATCTCGTCCCTCTTTCCCTGAAGCTTTTCATTTTCTTATGCTCTGAAGCCATATGGTCTTGGCACACAATAGCTGTGCCCTACAAGTTAACTTGCCTTTTGGATATTTTTTTACAGTGAGATCCTGCATATCAAGCAGAGCTATTCAGAAATAAATGAGATAGTTGATGGAGCCATGAGGCTTTGGATGCCAGTGGTCCATTTGAAAATGAACTTAACTTTTCTCCAGGGCACTTTCAGGAGGAGTTTGATCATCCGTCCTTCAATGGCTGTCCTATCTCTGCTCCTTTGCTGGTGGGTTGCAAGCCCAAAGAAGGTGGATGTGGTGGAGGGGTGATGCGATGCAGTTGGAGGGGTCATGAGGCACTGCAAACATTATTGCAGTCTAAAATAAAGAAAATCTCACTTTTCAGTCTTCACATATCTTTATCTTTCAAGGTCAGATACTCTCTGTCAATTTGACCAGTGCAGCTGGTCAGGGCACATCTATTCCATCTCATGAGGGTTTTTGAGGTTTCAAATTTATTGTCATTCCTTGTTGGAACAAAACCCAAACTTTGTAATGCTTTTGTGAAAGAGAATTATATCCAAATGCCCATTCTTGGAAAGGATCTGGAAAGGTCAGATTTTCAATCTCTTTCTCCCCAGAGGTAACTAGAGTGCCTAGCCTGGTCCTCAGAAGCTTTTCCTTGAAAACTTTTGTTGAAATCAATATGTTTCCATGAAACACTCTGGCTTCAAAGAAGCAACGTACTCTGTTGGAAATAAATTTTGACAAAAAGGTTCAGCTAGCTTTACTCTCACAATATTCACATGTGTAAATTAAAGCAATACTTGTAGTACTAATACATATTTTTCCTGCTATAATAGACACAAAGGAGCTGTGATATTTTTTTTTCCCCCACTCTTTGTTTGTGGATCTCTTTCTCAAAGTTGGAAACACAGCGCCCCAAGTCATCCCCGTACTGAATACTTATTCAAAACATTTTACTTAGCTTTCTTAAATCCACCTTGCTTCTTATACCAAGGAGCCCTTTGCTGTCTTCTGGGATGGTGCCATCATTTCATGATGGATTTTAAACATCAGAAACTCTGTGATCTCAGTTTTAGCTTTGTTAGACATCTCGGGTGTATCTCCCTTGGTTACAGGGGTCTTTGTTTTTACATCCTGAGTGAATACCTTTTTCAACTGTTGCTAATGGATCCTGACAGAGGAACCAAAAATGATGAAACAGAACCAAAAACTCCTAAGGGTTACCTTCCTATACATACTTCTCTGTCTTCAGGGGGAACCGCTTCCTCTACCTTAAGGGAAGAATTAATCTGATGGGATTTTTAAAATATACATTTTCACTGTAAACTATGCAAATGCCTTCCCCACAATGTCACCTCTGATCTTCTTGTCTGTATGCAATGTATTACTTCCATTTATGCTGAGAGCCAAGAGATGGAGCCCTGTGCCAAAGGGGCTCCCCTGCAGAAGGGCAGATTGGGCACAATGGGGCTCCTCTTCTGCTCCTTTCATTACAAAACTGCCCCCACCAGCGTCACAAAGACAAACTGAAAACTGAAGAGGTGCTTTTGTACCATCATGAGAGTAGCTGCAGGGCTGTGTGTTTCTTGCTTCTGGTTGACAGTGCAGATTTAAGCTATTTTCCCACTGTTTATTTTGTTTATTTATTTAATCAGATGATTTGGGGTAACGGTGGAGAGAAAGAAGCTGTTTATTTTCTTCTGTCAGAGTGCAGAGATATCAGCTGATTAAGGTCAAGAGTGGGACTGTTTGAAATGAGCGTGCCTTCACTAATTCTTCTCTAGACACTCATGGCACCTTTTGTCTTGTTTTTGTGGACTATCATGTAGGATGAAACTGTAAATGGGGTGAGAGTTGGAGGGCAGGTGAAGAGCCTCGTTCTGTTGCCCTTAGTTACACCCATTTTGTCTGTAAATTGAATAAGAAAGACCACGGCAGTTTCCTCTAAGTCTCAATAACAATTAAGAAGAGTGAAGTGGGCTGTCCGGATATTCTTCCAGCATGTTTCTCATAAAAACTGTGATAAAATAAGAGGGCTTATTTTGTGGCAGACTATGCATTCATTTTTTGTAGGTGGCTCCCTCCATGGAGAGATTATCACAGGGCTGTTACTGCTTTGCCTCCATCTTAAGACTTTGTTTGGAAGTGTATCTCCCTTGGCTACAGGGGTCTTTGTTTTTACATCCTGAGTGAATACCTTTTTCAACTGTTGCTAATGGATCCTGACAGAAGAACCAAAAATGATGAAACAGAACCAAAAACTCCTGAGGGTTACCTTCCTATACATACTCCTCTGTCTTCAGGGGGCCCTTCTGCTCAGAAATACTTGAAGTTTTTTTTTGAGAAGGGATCTCAACTCCAAACGTGTTCAAGAGGGGATAGTACAGCAGTGTCCACAGCCCTTTGGAGACTGGTTTCTGAGCATTCTTGTGAGGTCTGAAGCATCATCTGGGAGTTTAGATACATGTCGAATGCTGAAGTATGCATATGGTATTGATCAAATGGTCTCAAATGTCCATGAAAAATGGGTATGGTACCAATCAAATGGTCTCAAACATCCATGGACAATCAGCACTGCAAATAATGAGCCAGCCCTTCCTGTCTGCAGTAGGAATCACCTTCTCCTCTTGCTTTCTAGGAGAACTGCTTATAACACACAATCTTTCCCCAGTCCAGTGGTTTGCAATAACCTTGTTACAGTGGCTTAATAATAAGGATATTTAAAACAGAATTTGGTATTAAATTAAATGAAGCTAATTACAAATCAGCACTGGAGCAATAGTCAACATCTGGATTATTTTTCTAGGAAAGGAAAGCACAACTTTTACATAATTTCATATCCAGCAAATCTTTTCCCTTCAGAATGTTTGTGCTGCTTACTCTGACAGTGTGATTTGTAGCAAGTAAGGCTTGGCACCACGACCACACACCTATGAGCCTGCAGGTTAGCTCCCACCTAAAACTGGGTTAGTTTTCTCTGAAGCTCCACGCTGACCTCACACTGCAGTTCAACAAGAAAACACTTTTTTGGACAAATTGGTTGACTTTCTGTAGCATCTGGAGATCTGTTGTATAATATATATGTATGTATTTGCATTTGAGCAAGTGAAGGAACCCATTGCTTTGTCTTGTTCCGGAGTTGCTCTTTCTGGTCCCCAGCACCCAGGAAGAGCTGGAGCTGCTCCCCTGCTTGGGAAGCTGCAGTTGAGTGTTTGGACAGAAGATGGTGCAGTGTTCACAGCTTCGTCCTGCTGGAACGCTGAGCTCTGCTTTCAATCTCAGTTTTATGTTGGCTACCAGCAGGCAAACCAACTCCAGTTAGCAACTTCAATTTCATTGCAGTAACAAATGCACAACTGGCTATGGTTTGTGTAGCAGCAAATTAAAGTGGCGAATATATATGTAATACATACATACATATAAAATACAGATATATAGTGCATGGAGATGAATTAATAAATAATCATAAAATGGATTTTTTTCTCTCTCTCTGAACTCCCCTACTGACTTCGTCACCCCTGTTTTAATTCAGGGATTAAAAGCATTGCCCTTGCAGCAGATGTGAGCAAACCCGAGGATGTGCAAAGGATTGTTGATACCATTGTAGCTCGATGGGGTACGATTGACATTGCATGCAACAATGCTGGAATCAATATGAATTCTGCAAGTGAAGATACTTCACTAGAAGAATGGGACAAAACTTTCAATGTCAATTTACGAGGACTATTTTTGTGCTGCCAAGTGAGTGTGAAATGCTGTACAGGTTTGATATGCAAATGGGCAGCAATGTTCTTGGTTTATTTATGTTTAATTTACCAAGATTTAACACCATTTTATTGTTAATATCATCATAATGGGGTTAACTTCATGAGATTAATCAATTTACAGATTTTGGTCAGTATTTTCAGAACAGCTGGTCATTAGTGGCTGTCCCAGCTCAGGTGCTTAAGAATGGCCTGATTCTGGGAGGGTGATTATTTGACACTTCCTGAAGGGCAGAAAGCTTTGGGGGGCCATTGCCAGCATCAGTGATTTAAAAAAAAAAAGAAAAAAAAAAATGCCAAAAGCAAAGTGGGTCCAAAATGGCAATGGAATTTTTCCTGCATCAGCCATTTTTATACCAAGTTTTTATATTGAGTGCTTAAAAAAATGTGTGAGAGCATACACTCTTCTGAAAAGTGAAGACTAATTTATTATCATGTCATTATTAGCACAATCACAAAAAGGGTCACTGGTCTTTCCTTTAATTTCTGTCACAGGCTGCAGGCCGCATTATGCTGAATCAAGGATATGGGAAGATAATTAACACAGCATCTATGGCAAGTTTAATAGGTGAGTGATGAGAGCTAACAGTTGTGCTTCAGAATCCATATTTTAATTACTACCGATGCTATTTGAATCAATTAAACCTGTATTGGGAAGGAGTAAATCACTGACATTTTGTATTAGAGGAAATGTACTACAAAATTTTTATTGATATCATTTTTCAACATTTATCTGTCCTCTATGTTTTAGAGCACTTATTGCTTTTTATAGGAGAGGCGGAGTCACCCCTGTGCCTGATGCAGTGATGACATGGGAGAGGTGCTGGTGCATTCCCCGCTAATTTCAGGAAAATGCGTTTTAGTGCAGAAAGTGGTGCCCTGCTGATGTTTATGAGACACCCAAAAGCTATTGTGCCACTTTTTGCTGCGGTACCATGGTTATATTTCATTGTCGTTGCCAACAGGTGTCTCCACCGACGCTGCTGAATCAGCAGCATCGTCAAAAGCACCAATAAACCATTGTAACATATGGAATGAAATCCCTACTGCTGAGCTAATCTGGAAGGCAGTTACATGCTGGTGAACTGAGGCCCATGTAACAAAAATTGATCAATTACACAAATTAAGCATAGCCCTTTAGGAATTTATTTTATTGGTCTGGACATCTGTTGCAGTATTGTCCAAATCCAAAAATCAAATGGTGCCTTGGGTTGCCAAGTTAGGCAAGAAAATCTAGTAGCTATAAAAGTACAACTGAAAACCCCTGCATTAATATCATGTCCATCTGCTGAACGTTACATAAATATGCAGTCTTTTTATTTTCCTTGGGAATAACATTTATTTTTACAGTGCCCAGTTTGACTTTCTGTGACATTCTGTTCAGTTTATTGCGTAGTAACTTTAAATGTTTCTTCAAAAGTGCATTTATAATATTGTTGTTAATTTTTGTCAAGTGTCTTTACCAGCTGTTTCACTTATGCTCAAGCACAGGCACCATACCTCTGCCCCGTATTTGTAGAGCAACAAAATCTCCTGAAACAAAAGTAGATTTAAAAAGGCTGCAAAGCTTTCAACTTCAGGTACCCTGATGAAGTGCAGCTCTGAGTGCGGCCCAAAAGAGGCATTGTGCATCCTGTGTAAATGTCACTGAAAGTTAATGCACGTGGACATGGGTAGGCCAGAAGTTAGGAGACAAAGGGATGTGTTTACCTTCTGAACCTGTTTGGATCTTGGCATGGGAAAAATCTAGTAGTTATAAAACTCCAACTGAAAACCACGATGTTCATATCATGTCCATCTGCTGAATGTTAAATAAATATGTTGGTTGGTTGGTTATTTAAGTATGTTGGCCAACTGGCATAGTATGAAATGTTTCTAGAAATAGTTAGGGGATATATTTTTTTTTTTGTAGGTTGAGTCCTTCCTGAGAGATAGAGGAAAATGAGGAGACTCTTTGTAGGATAGAAAGGTTTTTGTTTGCGATTTTTATTTTCCAGATACACTGCTCAGAATCAATTTTAATTAACTGAAGATAGGCTGCATACATTTTGCATATGTGCATGTTGATTCTGGTGTTTGACTGGAATTATTCCAGACGTATGCCTCAGCAGCAGAGAGGAGGCTGCTGCAGCTCTGCCATTTGTACAGGTGGAACTCCACTCTAATTTTTACAGCAAATATCTTTAGTGGGAAGTGATCTGTTCTTCTCTCTGTGTGCGCTTCTCATTAACATTACACGGCTGCTTCAAGGTCAGGCGAGAAGCCTTATGCACCGAACAAGGTAGCAAAAACATTGTGTCAGATGTTTAAAATGTAATGCAGCTGATGTTGGCAGCATTTTTATCTGTTTGCCTCCTGCCTTCTCCATGCGAAACAGGAGTGAGCGTTCTCCCTTCATGCAGGCCTTGTGAACTCTCATATCCTGATGACACTGCTAGAGGCATGGCTTCATTCACAGGCTCTGGTTTGGAGGGCTGAAGATTTGTGGGTCTATGAAGCATTACCCAGAAATGTGGCTTGGGGAATGAAGGAGGTGATACTGATGCTCAACAAAGTTTTTGTGTGTTTCAGGAGGAGAATATCCCATCTTGGTTACATTCTTTAGCCATTCCTATGAAGACAAAAGCACTGACATGGAGAGAGCCTTGTAAATCCTGACTCCAAGTCAGGATGCTGATTGCTGGCAACCACTAGCTGCTCTCACCCGTGTGGGCAAGAGGTGCAGAGACAGTGCCAAAACTCTTATCCTCTGAGCAAACTTCCAGTGATTTATCACAGACAGACGTGTTTGGAAAGTTTAGCAATGAGCTGCTTTGGGGAGGTTGTGAGGTTAACTACCGAAGTTGTACATAACTTGGAGCTGATGTGCGGCAATTAATCAGGAAATTAGGTGCCACTCCTGCTCGAGAGCCCACACAGAGCGCTGTGTCTGTGGGGTGATGGGGACATGGAAAGCAGCAGGGTTCTGCAGGTTGGAATGGGAGTCATTTGGTACAGAACAAAAAATTAGGGCAGAAGAAATGCTGGCAAAGGGGACAGTGTCAAATAGTTCTTAGCATACCCTCAGCATGTGCAGCAAAAGGAAACGCTGATTCTTGCCGCAATTTTTTACGTTCTTCAAATCCATTCATAGATATCTATCTCCATTCGTAGATACTGCGGATATCTCTGTTTGTGGCTATTCTGTGTTTGGTGAGGCATTGGCACAGGCTGCCCACAGATGTGGTGGAGTCATTGTCTCTGGAGGTGTTCAAGAAAAGGGAATATGTGGCACTGAGGGCCATGGTTAGTGGGAAGGGGCTCATGGTCGGACTAGATGATCTTTCCAACTGTAATGATTTTATGGTTCTGCAATTCAAGGCAAAGGTGCTTACTGGCTTGCTCAGCACTTTGCAGCAGAGTCTTCACTGTTTCAGAGCTTGGTTAACTCCGTCACTGTCTTCTTGTCATGGTTTTGTGATTTTTGGTTTTCGGTATTCCACATCACATGCTGAACCAGCCCATAAACCATTGACACTTTTTTTTACACATGAAATCAACACACTTGAAAATAATTGTTTTAGACAAAAAGTAGTTGCGAAGGTGTTGTGGTATCCTAGACAGTGGTGCTTTGGAACTTATTCACAGCTTCATAAATTCAACATAAAGCTTCATGAGTTAGGCCAATGTAATGTAAACTGCCAGTGACTCCATGTGCTTCCATCCTTGTGTTCTGAGTTTCACCAGAGGCTCCCAGGGTGCAGAGCTGCCTAACCTACACGTCACCAATGCTTGTTGCATGGTTACTGACACTCAGCACTGATTTTCCCCACTTCCACAAAGTACCCTTTGATGTCCCATAATGACATCAGTGCCTTGCACCAAATTTGTTTAAGAAGATGATGATAGCCAGCAGGTCAGATAAAAGAGACAATGTACAGGTGGAAATCCCAACAGCCACACTGACTCAGGTTGGTTCTGATGGGTTTAAGGCACTTTAAACCCACTGTGGATTTGTCCTTAAGCAGCTTTCTGGGAACACTGCAAGCACAAGAGCTGGCAGAGGGGCAGAGCCACCAAGCACACCACACTAACAAGCTTGAACATTGTAATTAGCAAGCTGATCATCTTCCCTCCGTGACTGACATGTGACATCCCTGAAACATCTTCAGAATCTTTAGATTCTGAAAGTGGTGGGTGTTCAGGATTTTTGGGATGCACCTGTGCTCACATCCATACAAACACTGATTAGATAATGTGTTTGCTTCAGACTGTGGATAATTTAAAAATTAAGGTGAATAATTTGTTCCAGGGAGATATATAATATGGTATGTTATATACAAATCTGTAGTGCATGTATATTATATCGCGTGGTATGGTTTTTATATCAGTATTGCAGTGTATGCATATTTTCCATAAAATATACATGTGTATAAAACGTAAGCGTGCAAACATCGATATGATTATTTATCCTTCTTGGAAAAAGTCAAACACTCACATGTATGCTTAACACACTGCTTTTGGCTTTGCCAAAACGCAGAATGTTTTGAGTTCATTTCTTTTTTTCTTCGTTACTCCCAGATGCTGAAGCAAAAATGTGAGGTGACCAAACACAGTTTTAGTTTTGCTGTGTGATGGCTAAACTCTTGTTGCTCCCTGCCTGGTATCAGGGAAAACGCCAAAGAATTCATCTCAAGGCAGGGAACGGCACTTGAACTTCCCCGCACGCCTTAATTTGAGGAGAATAAATATTTTCCTATTTCTGAATCTCTTCCAGTTCCGCACCCGCAGAAGCAGTTGGCGTATAATGCCTCCAAAGCCGGGGTCGTAAAATTAACACAGACGTTAGGAACGGAATGGATTGACAGAGGAGTAAAAGTCAACTGCATTTCCCCGTAAGTAAAATGTAGTCTCATTCTGAATGTACAAAGGGAATGAAATGTTCTAAAAAGCTCAAATGAGCAGTATCTTGGAAAATAAAGTTTCTAATTAGTAGGTGGATTGCATCCCTTTTTATGTTGTCTTTTCCTTAACAAAGGTTTAAATACTTATAACCAAGCCTGCTCTGTTGCTGTGTATACTCAGGAATTTAAGAAGAGGTTTTAGCATTTGATAATAGGTTTTCCAATAATGTGAAGGGTAGTTTTTAGCATTTCTCTTCCAGATGAAATATTTCCTTAGTCTGTCCAAGCCTTCCGCGGTTAAAGAAAAGGCTTTTGACACTTAATAGACAATACTTCTTTCCCCTTTTTGCTTGAGACAAATATATAGGCACTTAGAACGCCACACTGCAGCGCTGTAATTGAGATAGTGTTCAGCTCTGACAGTTGCAGGAGGCCAGGTGTAATTTTGTAAATATATATCTATATTTATTACAAATTACATTTTCCTTATTTTTGGAGGCTTAAAGCTGCATGTTTTATTTTACGCTGTTTATTCACAGAGCAAAGTTTTCATGCCATCTTTCCTCTCCCTGTTTCTCGCAGTCATGACCAACACAGTCGTTTTATTAAACAATTAACAGTGCATGATAGTGCTAAGCAGAAACCCAAGTGGATAGCACTAATTGGAAGCGGTCAAATTCCGTAGACCGTTGAAGTCAATCAGAGTAAGTAAGAAGGGCAGGATTTTAACCCAGGAGTTAAATTGTAATAATGAAGTTATAATGTATGTCAAATTAGGAAAAACAAATTACATATTTTAATCCACAAAGTGGAAGAGAAAAAAAACCACAGAGCTCAATGGCAAGTGCCTGTGTTTTTACTGTCAGTTTGACTCTCCACTTCCTTGTGCTAGCTGTCTTCCTTATGATTATTACTAATTATAGCAGTGACTCCAGCCTTTGCTTGATGTGATCCATGGATTCTTTAAACAGCATCTTACTTGGTAGTAGGATTTTCCCCATGCCAGTACTAACAGCTCTGCTATCACATGCTCACAACTAGGTCTGCTGAATTTACACAGGCTTTTGGGAGCCAGGGGAGATGAAGGGAATTAGGGAAGCCCAGCAGGACCAGGCAGGAACTGTGCCTGCAAATGCACAGGTAATCGTTACCAACAGAGATGGGATAGTATGCCACATTTACTGTGATCACAGGTGAGAAGGCTCTTAGAGGAGGAATTACCTATTCTTAAGGGGTTTACATAAATTTCAAAAGTCTCCACTGAATGATCAGAACTCATTGTTTTGTGTAAGTTGGAAACTTACACTCTTATTTGAGGAAGTTATGCTTTTGGAGGCAGTTGTCAAAGCACTAGGAAAAGAGAGTCATGCTTCTCTTTTTTACTTTATAAGCCAAAATGAGGTTGCAGTTTTATCATCGTGTCTTTAACTCCAACTCTGAGCTCAAAATCCTATGATAGCAAGCGGGATTTTTCTTTGCAAAGCAATAGCCAGGAAGGGCACAGAAAGGACAAAGGTTTCTGCTGTACTGAATGTCTCCAGCTCTTTCTCTCCAGTGCAGCTGGGGACATGGACTGAAAGGCTCCCAAATCCTGGCAGAGTTTTACTTCAAAGCTTTGGTTGAGCCCCTCCTGTCCAGGCACATGTGGAGCTCTGGGTCAGGGTTTAGTGTGATTTGTACTGCTCAGATCCCCCTCGCTAAAAGCAAACTCTGCATATGCTTCTGCCTGTATGAGAGATGTGAAGCAGTGAGACCATCAAAGTACTTTGCTGGGTTGGAAGAAGTTCCAAATGCACGAGTCTATCTGAGCGTGGATGTCCAGTGAGTGTAATGCGCAGCATTTTGAGATATTTTGAGGGCTATGAGAAGCACAAGAGCTGGATATAAGCTGTGATGGAAGATTCACTCTGGATAATCTTTAGAGAAGTAAAATATGTAGGTGTGCCCTTTAAGTCCTTTGCTCTCCCCACACTTGATTTCTTTAATGCTTTAAGGCATTCACAGCACACATCTGCCTGGAGTTCCATACACTCCAGTCTGGCCTTGAACATTATTTCACCATGCAAACCTTTTGGCCTTTTTTCCTCTTCCTATCTGGTCACTTTTTATCAACTTAATTTCTTAACGAGTGCATAAAACTTATGCAGACCAATGCATAAAAGTTATCAATGCATAAAATGTTATGGCAGTCCTTAGCATAATTTATTGCATTTATAAAACTGAAGATCCTTTTCTCGCTTGCCAGGCAAGTCTCAAGCCCATGGGGAGAAAGTGACTGATCCCATGGGATCTAAGGAACCTGATGGATGCCCCATCCCTGGAGGCATTCAAGGCAAAGTTGGATGTGGCTCTGGGCAGCCTGGTCTGGTGGTTGGTGACCCTGCACATAGCAGGGGGTTGGAACTAGATGATCACTGTGGTCCTTTTCAACCCAGGCCATTCTATGATTCTATGACTTTGCCTCTTGTTTCATGTAGAGCAAGTGTCTCTGTGCTCAGTCCTTTTGCCACTGTCTATTCTGTTGCTTCCTAGCTTGTTGCACAGCTGGTGCCAGGCAAAATAAAAGTGCTGGACTTCATCAAAAGAGACATGCAGTTTGGGCCACAGAGGGGACTATGAGTAAATGGGGAGCTTCTCATGGTGCCTCTGTTTGTCCCTTTCCTGGTCCCTGCAGATATTTCAAGTTAGGTGGGTGTGATGAAGCAGGGAACTTTGGGAACCTCAGTTCTCAGCACGGATGGTGTTGGGATGCCTCATTTTGCAGCCAGCATGCTTGACCAATGGGCATTGTGTGAACAGGATGCTTTCAGCCCAGTGGGATCAAGGTGCAAGAAAGCAGGTAGGGATCTCCCCAAATTTGGGGTCACCAAATTTGGAGGAAGGAATGGCAGGAGCATGAGCAACCCAGAATCATCTCAAGGCATCCCAATTAAGAGGCATTACCATCTCCATTAAGCAGCAGTCATTGCTGGTAAGTATCTTTGGACTTAAATCTAATTCCTTGGGAGATGTCCCAATTAAGTGGATCTCTTGATTAAACACTTCCTGATTAAGTGGAGTGTACTTAACTCATTCAAATTAATAACTCATCTGAAAGAAATCAAGTTACACACAGATGGAATCTCTTTTTGCTCTCATTTGGGGATTGAACGCACGTAACAATTCCAGTTAAGTATCTGGTAAGTGATATTTTTCCTAATGTGTCTCTCGAAGTGGAAATGTTTTAGGCAATTGTTTTTTTTTTTTTTTTCTTTCTTCTCCTAATGTCTCAAATTGTCCTGTGTATCAATAATTAAATATTGATGCTCATGTCTAATGTTCAGGAACTAGCAGTTTGATATTACATTGACATGCAACAGAAAGTACTGATAGGCTCAGCACTGCATACGAGATGAGGTAGGGAATTAATGCATTGGCAGTTGTCTTTGCTGGAACTGGTTAGAAGCCAACTAAAATCTGCCTAAAAGGGTTCAACAACATTAAATTGCCCAACTTGGCACCAAAGCTTTCCCAGAAGATGTGTAGTATCAATGACATGCCTAATATTTATAGTGCCATCAGTATGTGTGTTTGCAACTTTAAGTTTTGTGCTACATTTTTTTCTCATTTATAGAACAAAAAAATTTGTAGTGAAGTTTTGTCACACATCAAAATTTTTACTAGTCGATGTGAGCTTAGGGAAAGGTCAACCAAGAGGTGCAGCCCTTGGCTGAAATCAGACCAAGGATGGTTTTTCCAAACATTGAAATAAGTCCTCTTTTAGTGAAATCTGCTGTACTGGAGAAGGAATGTATGCCGTATTTCCCAATCTGTATTCCCTTTGGGTTAAAACTTAAAAAAA